TATATATATATTGAAAAGAAGGGAAGAATATCTTATTAAGTGGTCCAAAACTAACATGTAAAGGCAAATCAAATTCTTGGTAGGTACAAGAAGAAGTTTGTTAAGATATGTAAACTATATATTATACAAGTATATAGAATTAGTATCAAATAATAATACAAGTCCCTACGCTCATCATGATATATATGGGACACAATTGTGCCGGCATGTGAGTTTATTTTTTTAAGTACAAAGCCAACACTTTAACTATATATATATAATCATCATCATATTCAATACCCTACACAAGCCATGGCCAAACTTCTCTTCTAATTAATCTCATTCTTATCCTTAATTTCTTGATTTATACGTCTCTTATGAGTAATTAAGATGCAAGACTAGCTAATCTTCTTTTACTCCCTCCGTTCCATTTTATATGTCACTTTTTTACTTTGCACTTGCATTAAGAAATGATGTAACTTTACCCTTCTACCCTTATTTAATGTTTTCTTAAGTCAATTTTATAATAAATGATGAATATATTTTCAAGATTAATCAACTACTCTATCAAGGGTATAATAGGCAAATTATGGTAATTTATGCATAAATTTTATAAAATGACAAATATTGTGGTTCAACTATTTATAGAAAGGGATGACATATAAAATAGGACGGTAATACATATGTGATTTTAATTTTAATTAGCATGTCCCTTTGACTGTAATTATTAACTTTTGGTCTTTGGCTTTGATTATTTAAGAGTATTAAGTACCATGCCCCAATATTAATTAATTAAGTTCTTCTTTCCATGATTGTTCGAATGGCCTAACTGATTTAATTTGTTAATAATCATTAGTGTAAGCGTGTGCTTCATTCTAATGTCATCATTCCATTAAGTTCCTTTAGATACGTCTCCTTTTTATTTAAATTGTTATTGTTAGTAGTATATTAACCAAAAACCAAATCTTAGCTTGAAAAACGTTGGAGAATATTATTTCTTGTACACTAGGTGTATACATCCTATTAATTAATGCACTAAACTATGATTCTATCTTTTTCCTTGATAAATTAATACTACTAACTAAACTTTTGAATGAACTAAAGTTTGATGCATTATGCGCTGACGGCAATTATTGATTCGCTAATACTCTTCGTTTCAATTGCTTTTGGTCCGTTCAAAAAAGAATGTCTTTCTTTTTTAGCAACTCTTTAATTCTAACTTTCTACATACATAGGCAATTCATCGTTACTTAAGAACATAGGATGGTTTATCGCTAAAATCCATCGCTATTTCCGCGATTTTTGGTGCTCCCATTGCTATGAAAAGAGCAAGAAGCTTCATATTGAGGCGGAATATCTTAACGCAGTCAAGAATCATTTTTGGAAACTGAGAGCCTCTTTTGCAGTTATTGGGATTTTGGACCCTGGCTCTTGTTTGCTTGAGTTGACACTCCAATAGTCTCAATAATTATTACTACGTCTCAATCCCAAACTAGTTAGGAAACATCAATCTTCATATTTGCGTAAGAAAGTGTTCAAATGTATTTACAAATTTCTTGTCAAAAACCAAAGATTTGGATATAGGGATTAGGCATCACTTCATTGTCCAAGCAAATTCATTACTTCAACATGTGTTTATATTTGAAAAGCCAAAAAAAGATGAAAATCAAACCTGAGGATAAATTTTTCATCCAAGCCTACGAGTATTGGAATTCGTCAGAGTAAAAAATTACAAAACTGGGATGGACTTGGCTCGAATAAAGTGCTTGAGAATGGCTTTCTCCTCATCAATGCGCTTTTTCTCCTCTTGATCTTTTGGCTTAACTCTTCTCTTTTCTTCCAACATCCACTTAAATAGTTCACGCTGTTGATTCTCGGGTATTGGTTCTCGTACAATCACAGGCTGAAGAGTAGGTGTAGCAGTGACTTCCTTTTCCTTTTCACTAACTGTGCTAGCAGCTACTGTTGAAATAGAGTCGCCAGGAACATCTAATATTTCTGCTTCCTCAGTTCCCACATCCTTTTTCTTAGTCCTCATGAAAAGGTAAGCTACACAAATCACAAAAACAGATGGAAGTACCACGAATGTAAAAGCAAGTTTACGGAATTCTGAAAACAGAACTGTAAAGACCGGCAGCAAATAGCTGTCCAGGTATCATAGGTTGTGAGCATGGCAAGGGGATACAGGAAAGAAACATGCTACTCTACAAATTAACAATGTAAGATGGAAATGAGAGACACAAAAAGAAGCAATGAATGTTAACTTGAACAAATATTTCTGTTCTTTTAAAAACTAATTGAGACAAATAAAGCAGGAAGATCAATTTATTGACCTTTTGCTTCTTCTTACCAGTAACAATTAGAGCACAAGAAGATGACATAAACATTCCATATCATCACATGTTTACACTAAACAAATATAGTGCACACAAAGGAGTTCCACTTGTATGCATTTCTAGAAGAACATTATTGCCATCACTAGGAGAGTAGAATTACGCAAAAAGATAGAGCAGCACAAGGACTACTAGCCAAGTAGTAGATCCTAGTTCACAGTACATCCAGTTTCATACAATTCCATTCCATATTAAAATATAATCATGAGTAAAGTGCAGCACCAAAGAAAAACAGTTACAAACTATGCTTACTTCTTTTCCAAGTTTAACATGGCATTGATTGCAGAAACTTCCAAGTGAAAGTTCTGGACCTTCACCTTATGGTAGGTCAAATCTAAAAGAGAATCACTGTTTAGAGCATAGATGAAATTAAAGCCAAATAACAGTTGCAGAATGGATGTTAGAAATGGGAATCAGAGCTGAACATGTGCTTTAACAAAGTTTGGTGGACTCGATCAATATTGCTTGCTTCTAAATTATTAATTGTCCTTGCTGAAACTAACTTAATAAAGAGATACAGTACAATTAAAACTTATGACTATTTTCTTTAAGCACAGTCATACTACTGGACTATTTACTGTGAGTCATATGTTGCTCGGAGTCTCCAAAATTGTTGCCACACACATGTCGGATCCTCCAAATGGCACAAGTTTTGGAGGGTCCGACGCGTAACTCTCGACATTATTGAAGAGTCCAAGCAAATAGACTGTGACTATGGTTCCATTTTACAAGGATATGTCTGTTTTGATAATTTCCATCACTGCTAATAACAACTTTTGGAAAGTTCTTGTCACGATTCCAAAACAATCAGTACATTTCTGATGATCATTTGGCCCCTTTGACCAAAATAATCTGCACCAGATTTGGACCACACAACTTTCATTCAACCATCATAAATCAGATGGAATAAACCATCATTTTAAACCAGCTCGATTACACCATTCAAGACATTCATGTTTGAAACCATGGTATTCAAAGTACTCGAGTTCGTAAAGTTATAATATCACTATAAAAGAGTGGAAATGATCCTCCACCAAAGGTATCTTACTCTTCCATAATGATGGCAACGAACATGATGCATGAACTGCTTGGTAAGTTTTCTATTGTACGGATGCAGGGCAATATATTCCAAAGAAGGTACAAAACACAAAAGCTTTACAAAAAACTGTCATGTCATCTTCACTGATAGTGCAGTTTTCAACCGTATACGTTCAGACATTCTTGGGTAGTATTTCAAGACCCCTCCATGTCGTACTTCCCTCTCTTACCCTACATGTGAGAATTATTTTCCTCTTTAGTGCAGAAGGGCAAGGTGAAGGCTTTTTAGACTAAAGATGGTTGCATTACTAGTTATTTATATCAGTCTGTTCGGATTTAAACCTTTTTGGTTTAGGACTCTAAATGGATCACATCATTCAAAATTCAGAACAACCAATATGGTGCTTGACACATAAGCAACAGAACTTATGTTTATTGTTTGTGGCTTGTGGTGTCACATAACAATCACAAAACACTCAAACTAGAAATGAGGAAAACTGTGTCTATTGACATACAACAAGAACCCAAAATGAAGAGAAAGCAAACCAATTTAGAGAAACAATGGAACAGGGAAGGTTGCAAGAAAGATAAGAAAATGACTAGTGAGTTCAAGGATGACTGGAGGTTTCTCCCATTTGTAAATCATTTTCTTTTAAATCTGACAGCTGCTGTAACAATGACATAGTTACTCTAGGCCTATTGCAACATTACTCTGTATCGTCTCTTCAGTAATTTACCTAATCAAAGCTACTTACCCTGCCGCCTAAGGAACAAGGATAAGTACGCATCTAGAATGGATTCTCAAAGAAAAGAAAATTCTTCTGAATTATGGAAATGACAGTATGAGATATAAGCCGCCTTAATTGAATTATGAAAAAGAAAATAAGCTAAAGACTGTGAAATTTGTCTACTAATACAATAATGAAACTCGAATACTAAATAGAAGTTCCATGACTATCAACTTTTTCCAGCACTCTGCACCCTTTCCCTAGAGACTTCCTTAAACAAGACTTGATTGCATTTTCTACGGTGAACTCCAATTTCAGCATAACTGTTTAAGAGTAGATCTTGGACCTAACTCAACCCCAAAAGCTAGCTTATGAAGGAGGATGGCCCAAGACCATATGGGGAGACCAAATTCCATTGTGATGTGGCACTCCAACACTACTAGGACTGGACATCTAAAGCATGGACAATATAAGACAAGGGGATCAATGTCGAAAACAACGAAAGGGTATGAGTTTAACTCTCATACCATGTTAAAGAACGGATCTTGAGTCTGACTCAACACCAAAAACTAACTTATGAATTACCTACACCATATAAGAGACCAAATTCCCATCCCACAAACACATGGGACTCCAACAATAACATCACCATAGCAGACATGGAACGAAATTACAACATATAAAGCAGATCCTCAAAAATGCCCAAGTCTAATTTCAAAAAGCTCGGAACCTTATAATGAAATTAAAAAGGCATTATCCAACAATGGAAAAAAACGAAGAGTAAAAGAGTAACCTCCAATAGAGAAATTGACAACCAAAAGCATAGGCCATAGGTACTTGTAACGGCGAATAAAGGATTCCTTAGGCGGCTGAGGAGGTGGAGCCGCACCGCGCGCCATAGATGACGGCGCCGTGGGCACCGACACCGGCGTCGGAGAAGATGCCTGTTGTTGCTGAATTTGCTTCAGCTGCGCTGTAAATCCGAATAGAAACGGATATTATTATTTTAAAAAATGTCATTCTTATAGGAGATTCTTCTCGATTGAGAAAATAATTCAGCGATTACCTTTCTTAGGTTTATTAATGTATAATTTTGGAGACACAGCCATTACGTCTTTTCTATAGCTTCCTTCTTTCCTCTTTTCTCTGCTGAAAATTCACACTGTTTACAGTCTTCAGTCGCCGGCCGTCGTTTCTTCTTCTTCTTCTTCCCGTTGAGGTAAATTACGGCAGTCGCCATAAAACGACGACGTGGTAACCCAGACTTGAAAAAATAAAAACAAATTAATTAAAACAAAATGCAGAGAATTTGCTCTTTTAATCCTTGAAATAAAGGCAAATTCTGAGTTTCGTCCTTATGATATCTAATTAATATATTTAATCTGTAATTAATTCAATTATTCAATTTTGATCATTTATTTGTGAATTTATGCAAATTTAATAAAGGGATTGTAACACTTTGGCCATATTTCATTAATTTTAATTTTGATCCTTGTAATGTATAACTAAGCATATCCGATCTTTAATTATAAATGTGTTTTTTTATTATTAAGAAGTATTTATATTGTTCATCTTATAAATTTATACTCAATATATTGAGGATATAATTAAGCTACAATAATGACCGTTATCATGCTTTTAAGTAAATTTGAATTAGTTATATGTGAATCATCACAAATCATATTTATCTATTTCAATTCATCTCATATCAAACTAGACTATAATTACTCAAACTGTTCTCCTATTTTTGCTGAATGCAGGCACCTCCTAAGTAAGTTGTTTAATCCACTAATGAATCATGTGTACAAAGAGCAAAACTTAGTTATTGATCAACTAGCACGTTTTGGTACAGAACTAACATGCTAGGACATTCGAATCTTCGAGTAGCCTCTTACTTTTGTTAGTGATCTCATGAAGGAAGGTCAAGAAGATTCTTTACAAACAAGAGCCATAAATTAAGCGGCAATGTCAAGCCATGGAACATCATCTTTTTCTTTTTGTAGTATTAACAATTGTGAAAATAGATAGTACTGAAGATATCTTGTATAATGTTGACGGACATACGTTTTATCTTATCTATCAAAAAAAGAAAGAAAGAATTGTCAGCGGTTTCTCCCCATCCCTTAATATATATAGTACTCCTATATAATTACAGAATTAGATCAAATTATAACCTGAAGAAGTTATGGGACCTTTTTTACAATTGCAACAAGTTAGGGGTGTTGTTAGAATTAACCCTAACAAACACTCCGTTACTAAACGGACTAAATGCCGCGGAATACAATTTATCCTTTGAAGATATATTGTCCCGCGAGTAGCTGAAGAATTACTGTAATTCAACAATGGCGATTCTTCTTCCTTTGTTCTCCATATCCCCAATTGTAAAAGCTTCTTCAGTTGACACAACCCAAAGACTTCCGTACACTCCTCACCGTACAACTCCTAAAAAAACCCAAACCCCTGATTCTCTATCCGCCATTTCAACTATCTCCTTGTCCCCTTCTACCAGCCGGTCGAATATTTCAGTGTCGGACCTTCTCAAACGTGAAATTCCTAGGTCTACGGAAGGTAGTAAACGACTAATTGCTTTCTCTTTTGTGCATAGTTTGATTTTGTGCTTTGTATTTTATACATGTTGATGTTATATTTTGTCGTGTAAATAGTGAAACCCGATGGAACATATATGGGGTACGACGTATGGCTACCAAGAGCACACAAAGTTGAGAAGCCTCGGTCTGTGTTTAATGCAGCCTCGCTAGCTTACATTGGAGATTGCATCTTTGAGGTTCTGATTCACGCTTATACTTGTTGATTATTGTCAATTATTATTATTTTTTTGTGTGAAAAACATAGGAGTACTAAATTTGGGAGAATTATTGGAATATCATTGAAGTGATACTAATCAGTGAGAACTTTTTTATGCCATTTTTATTTTGGATTGATATAGAGGAGAGAATTAAGTTTGAGTCATACTGTTAGGTGAGAGGTCCAGTAGCTATATGTGTCACTCACTCATGCGAGAAGTTCGAAAATGTTTAACCTGATGAGGAACAGCCTCCAAAATGGCAAACTTAGGTGGAATAGTAGCATCCAATATCTGGATCTCAGACTAGTAATTTGCAAAATCTCCCATCTAACACTTAGTTGGGGAAAAAACCTCATTACTTTCGTATAGTAACGATTTAAACTCATTTAGAGGTTACATTTAGTTTTGCTTTTGGGCATACTATTGTTTAGATGTAATAAAACTTCAACTATTGCGGTAATATTTGTGTCTGATAACTTGATACGATAGGAGATATTACTTTTAAAAAGATGGCAAGCTTGGACCAGGACAAACATGTAACCTTCTTAACTCTACAAGCTGCTTAGGGTAGATTTTCCGCGTTCTATGTGACATTTATAAAGACAAGTTCCAACCATGTGTAGGAAGTAGATGTGCATGTGAAAATACCCGTGTTTCCTTTTCTCTTTGTAGTGCATTGTAACATCTTTAAGGGCAACTTTTTACCTCTACGTAGGAAGTAGATAAGCAAAATTGGTATTTACATTTCTGTTCCTAGAGTCACTTGCATTAATGGTGGGTACAACTCCAGTATCTTCTATTGGAAATTTGAATGATTGGTTTCTATTGGGAACACATGATTTTCTTCAATTACTTGTAGTAGTTATGTATAAAAGTTACAGTATCAAAATTGAAGAGTCAATAGGGATGCAACTTAGAAAGTGTATATCTAATTTTGTTGAGCCTTCGATGTGCAGCTATATGCAAGAAGACATTTTTTGTTCCCACCATTGAGCATCGAAGAGTACAATGATCGAGTCATGGCAGTAGTACGTTGCGAGGCACAAGTATGGCTACCTTACTAGTCTTAAAGACCTGATGAAGATTCATTCTATTGATATATGCTTTCTATGATTTTCTTATATGATGTCTCCCTCAAGGGAGAAATCTGTTTTAAGAGTACTTATTGATGTCTGCCATAAGAGACAAATATGTTTTAGGATCATCTTGATAATCCTTTTATATCCTCTTTATGGATTTATATGGGGATCAAAACTCTTGAAGTTTTGGTTCCCTTTTCCTCCACAATTATGGAAATCTTTCACGGCTAGTTACATGATTTGAGATTTTAAAATAGAAAAAGATATAAGGGATGATTTTACTGCATAATATGTGAAATCTTTTGTATTTACTTGCATGACAACTGGGTATACATGCTTTGAAATGTTAAGAACTCACTCTTTCTGCTGCACACTTGTTTTAACTTTTAAGATGACCCCTTTTATCTTTCATCAAAAAACAAAAAAAAACCTCTTTTATCTCAATTACCTAGGTTTCTATTTGAGGAGTTGTTCTTCTTGATAGGTATCTGAGAAGGTATTAAGACAGATTCAAGAATATCACTTTCCCT